AGACGGAGCCTCAAGCTGTCCCCCTGGGTAGAGTGCCATGGCATCACGCTCACAGCAACCTCCAACTCCTGGGCTCAGGCGAGTCTCCTGCCTCAGCCTCCCAAGTAGCTGGGACTACAGGAGCCCGCCACAACGCCTGGCCATTTTTTGGTTGCAGCCATCTTGTTTGGCGGGCCTGGGCTGGGGATTCGAACTTGCCACCTTAGGTGTATGTGGCTGGTGCCTTAGCCACTTGAGCCACAGGCGCCGAGCCAAGTTAAACAATTTTAAGTAAATCGTCTTTAGTTTCCTCTTCAGAACCCTGAAGCTGTGTGTTCAGTGTGTTATGGGCCTATTCTGTGGTCACTGCGTGGTGGGCAGTGTGTCCTGTCCTTTAATTGTGGTCTCTGCTTTTGCCCCAGAGGCTGGCCTTGATGTACCGAATGCAGGTTGCAAATATCGACAAATTTGAAGAGAAGCTTCGAGCAGCTGAAGATGAGCTGAATATTGATGGGAAAGACAGGATCCTGGTCTCCTATAAGCGTGCTGGCTTCTTTGGAAAGTATGCCAGTCGCTTTTTGGCTCTTGAACTAAAGGCTTTGTAATGTGGGAATATCTTTGCAAACAAAAATCTCAAACTGTCTTTGCCTACAATTAACTACAGTCCCTTGGAGGAGTGGGCTGGGCACCATGGCTCATGCTTGCAGTCCCAGGACTCTGGGAGGCATAGGCAGAAGGATCCCTTAAGCTCAGGAGTTTGAGGATGCTGTGAGCTAGACTGACCCCACTGCACTCCCACTGGGGCGGCAGAGCAAGACTGTCTCAAAAAACAAAACAAACAAAAAACACCTGGCTGGGAGCGGTGGCTCACACCTGTAATACTAACACTTTGGGAGGCCAAGGTGGATGGACTGTCTGACCTCACAGGTTCAAGACCAGCCTGAGCAAGAGTGAGACCCAGTCTCTAAAAATAGCCAGCCATTGTGGTGGCTGGCTGTAGTCCCAGCTACTCAGGAGGCTGAGGCAAGAGAATCACTTGAGACCAAGAGTTTGAGGTTGCTGGGAGCTATGATGCCATGGCACTCCACCCAGGATGGCAAAGCCAAGTGAGACTCTGTCTCAAAAAAAAAAAAAGGTGTTCCATTTTATCTTGGCACCTGTAGCACAGTGGTTACGGTGCCAGCCAAATATGCTAGAGCTGGCAGGTTCCAACACAGCCTGGGCCTGCCAAACTGCAATGACAACTACAACAAAAAAATAGCTGGGCGTTGTGGTGGGCACTTGTAGTCTTAGCTACTTGGGAGGCTGACACGGGAGAATCGCTTAAGCCCAAGAGTTGGAGGTTGCTATGAGCTGTGACTCTTACCAAGGGTGACAAAGTGAGATTCTCTCAAAAAAAAAAAAAGCCTAACATACGTAGTAATGAATGATATAATTCTGGGAAATTTGGAAATCAAGTTATCCTTCAGTGATGGGAGGCAATTTCCAGGATCTCCTGAGGATGCCAGTACCTGAGGAAGCCAAAGCCCCTGTCTCATACCATGCAAAAGCTTTGTCAGTGATAGTTACACTGTATTGTTTAGGGAATAGTGACAAAAAAAGTACAGATTTAGTTTTTTTTCTCTGAATATTCCCAGTTGGTGCTGGGTTGAGCCCACAGGTAACTGCAGGCTGTTTGGTTGCTTTCTTTAGTTGGATGGTTTTTCTGAACTCACCTCATTGTGGGCTTATCTTCTACAAACACACAGAACAGAATGGGTAGAAACAGGAATGAGCTTTAGAAATTCTTGTTTCGGCTCGGCGCCTATAGCTCAACCGGCTAAGGCGCCAGCCACGTACACCTAAGGTGGCGGGTTCGAATCCCCAGCCCGGACCCGCCAAACAACAATGACGGCTGCAACCAAAAAATAGCCGGGCGTTGTGGCGGGCGCCTGTGGTCCCAGCTACTTGGGAGGCGGAGGCAGGAGACTCGCTTGAGCCCAGGAGTTGGAGGTTGCTGTGAGCTGTAATGCCATGGCACTCTACCCAGGGGGACAGCTTGAGGCTCTGTCTCAAAAAAAAAAAAAAAAAAAAAAAGAAATTCTTGTTTCAGGGTTGAGAGAGAAACAGGTGGGTGAGAGCTGTCAGTTAAGGTCATTGTCACCTCTCAGGCCTACTGGCACCCCAGTGACAAGTCACTATTCAGAGACAGAAGCATTGTCGTGCTGCAGCTTGTTAAAATACAGAATGCCAGTGATGGGCTACTGGAATGTGAGCCCCAGTGACTCCTCAAAGCTCACTGTACTCCTGATTCTATTTCAGGTAAATGACAGCAGGACAGGGAAGCAGGGGTCAAACCCAGGGTAGTCACCACTTCATGCTGAGGCCAAAGTCCTGGGATTTGCTTTGCTACTGCTAGGCTTATTTTGCCTCGCTAATTGAGGCTGATAGCTTCTTTTTTTGTTTTTTTGAGATAGTCTCACTTGGTCACCATTGGTAGAGTGTCATGGCATCACAGCTCACAGCAACCTTAAACTCTTGGGCTTAAGCAGTTCTCTTGCCTCAACCTCCCAAGAAACTGGGACTACAGACGCCCACTATAACACCTGGATAATTTTAGAGAGGAGGTCTCACTCTGGCTCTGGCTGGTCTCCAACCTATGAGCTCAGGCAATCCACCCGCCTCGGCCTCCCACGTGCTAGGATTATAGGTGTGAGCCACCACACCTGGCTTGATAGCTACTTTTGAAAATGTTTTGAACATATAAAAACCTGCTTTTTGTTGGTTACTGTCACAAGGGTTACTTCTAGGGTCATAAACAGGCATCCCCAACAATTGCACACATAATCTGATCACTCAGGAAACCTTTTTAGAAGAGGATAATCTATGAGAATTGGGCAAGAGAGCTGGTTTTCATAGCAGTTCTGCTCTACACAACAGTCTGAGGCTCGGGCCCCTCATCTTTGAACCATTGTCAGTGATGGCTCTGACTTTGCAAGGTATGTTTGTCAGGCAGCGATGTCTGAGCCATAATGGCCTCTCTTTCTCCCCCTAGCGCTCTCTACGCTGTTGGGATGACAGCAGTGGGCCTGGCCATCCTGTGGTATGTTTTCCGCCTGGCTGGCATGGCAGGAAGGGAAGGCGGATTCAGCGCTTTTGTAAGTCGTATAAATCTGACCTGGTTGAACTTGCTGGATTTGTGGTTTCAGGGTTCTCCTGTGTTTCTCTGTGCTCAACACTTTTCCATAAACTACAGAATAAGTGTGCAGTGATAGTTGACATCTTGCAAAGACCGGCCTGAAGCCATAATTTGGCAGTTCATTGTTCCTTCTGATTGGCTGATTGAAGGTATATAGCTTTCTCTGAGGGCCCTCCTGTCTGACTTCTAGGGTGACTGAGACAAGTGAGTTTGTAGGGTAGTTTTTTTGTTTTTTATTTTTTGGATTTTTTGAGACAGAGTCTCACTGTGTCGCCCTTGGTTAGAGTGCTGTGGTCACAGCTCACAGTAACCTTCTCACAGCAACCTTCAACTCTTGGGCTTAAGCAATTCTCTTGCCTCAGCCTCCCAAGTAGCTGGGACTACAGGCAAGGATAGTTTTCAATAAGCAGTGGGGAATGACTTTTTTTTTTTGGAGACAGAGCCTCAAGCTGTTGCCCTGGGTAGAGTGCCGTGGTATCACAGCTCACAGCAACCTCCAACTCCTGGGCTCAAGCGATTCTCCTGCCTCTGTCTCTCAAGTAGCTGGGACTATAGGCGCCCACCACAACACCTGGCTAGCTGTCATTGTTGTTTGGCAGGCCAGGGCTGGATTCGAACCCACCAGCTCAGGTGTATGTGGCTGGCGCCTTAGCCACTTGAGCCACAAGCACCGAGCCAAAAGAATGGCTTTTTTTACCCTTATTTTCTCCAATTGGCTAAGAAATTGAGGCATTTTAAAGATTGTCTTTAAAGGAGCAATGTTAAATAAGCATAATTAGCTGTCTGTCATGTGCATTTATTGCCATGTTTATTTTCTCTGTAGCTTCTCCTTCACTCCAGGTTGGGCCAGGCCATGGGCATGTTCTGCTCCATCCCTGGAAGTGTCCCTGTGTCGCTTCCACTGAGATGAAGAGCATATTTCTTTGTAGCTGAAGAAGCTAAGACTCGCTGTTATTTTTAATGGTACCATGGTATTTCATTGTGGGACTGTACCATATTTTATTCAACAAGCTTCATAATTTTTAAATATTTTTGATGTGCTTAAATAATACCATGATAAGGCTTGGTGCTAATAGCTCAGCAGCTAGGGTGTTTGCCACATACACTGGGGCTGGTGGGTTTGTACCCAGCCCAGGCCTGCCAGACAACAATGACAATTGCAACAACAACTAAAATAGCTGGGCAGCACCTGTAGCTCAGCAGCTAGGGTGCCGGCCACATATACTGAGGCTGGGGGAACCTGGCCTGGGCCTGCTAAACAAGAATGACAACAATAACAGCAAAAATAGCTGGGTGGGCTCAGTGCTTGTGGCTCAAGCGGCTAAGGTGCCAGCGACATACACCGGAGCTGGCAAGTTCGAATCCAGCCCAGGCCCTCCAAACAACAATGACGGCTGCAACCAAAAAATAGTCAGGCGTTGTAGCAGGTGCCTGTTGTCCCAGCTAATTGGGAGGTAGAGGGAGGAGACTCTCTTGAGCCCAGGAGTTGGAGGTTGCTGTGAGCTGTGATGCCACAGCACTACCCAGGGGGACGGCTTGAGGCTCTGTCTCAAAAAAACCCCCACCCGTTGTGGCGGGTGCCTGTAGTCCCAGCTACTTGGGAAGTTGAGGCAAGAGAACTGCTTTAGCCCAAGAGTTTGAGGTTGCTGTGAGCTATGACACCATGGCATTCTACCAAGGGCATAGAGAGACTCTGTCTCCAAAAAAAAAAAATAATAATACTATGATGAGTTATATATACAGGGATCTCCCAGATGTCTTTCTAAGCATTGCATCTGGCAGCACATGCCCTATACCAGGAGCCAGCCTTCTCTGCCCTGCCTGTGGCTGTCCAGAAATTTACCAACTAACATTTCTACCAAGACTCCCCAGGACTGTTCACTATTACATCATTTTTACAGTCAGAAAAGGAAATTATTATAGTAGTAGGGAAAATCACATGGAATAATACAGTCCATGCAAAAGACATTAAATAACAGTTTGTGGGGGAGGAAATTTTGTGTGCTAGACAATTTTCTTACCAATTAATGGCATAAAACAAACATTTCCCTCTGTGTGTGCAGAGTGGCCTATGATCCCTGTCTGACTTGAGTGGGGTGCAGTGAGGTGTTCCCCAGGATGGAGCCTGAGGGGTGGGGCTTGGGGCAGCTTCAGTGCTGTGAGCTGAGCCTCCATCATGGAGCAGCTGGTGGATCTTCTTGCTTTGCTAGGAACACTCAGCTCCTTGTGCTGTGCTCTGTCGTCACAGAATCAGCTAAAAATGGCTCGTTTCACAATTGTGGATGGGAAGATGGGCAAAGGGGTCAGCTTCAAGGACGTGGCAGGAATGCATGAGGCCAAGCTGGAAGTCCGAGAGTTCGTGGACTATCTGAAGGTGAGGCCATGAGGGCCTGGCAATGGGTGGCAGCCTCCTTTCTCTCCTGCAGAGAGGCCTCCTTAGAGATGGGAATTGCACTCAGTAGGTGTTAAGTGGCAACCCTCCCACAGGGACAGCCTCAGCAATGGGTGGCAGCCTCCTTTCTCTCCTGGAGGAGGTCTCCTTAGGGATAGGATTTGCACTTATTAGGTGGTGAGTGGTGACCCTCCCATGGGGACACCCCCAAGCAGTGGCTGCTCAGTGCACAGTGTTCTGCAGAGAAGTTCACACTGGCCTGTTGCTGACCATCCTGTCAGCCACCCTAGACACATGGTCTTTGGCAAAGATCTGTGCTTTTCCCAGAACCACTCAAACCACTCCTGCCCTTCCTGCATGTGACTTCCTAATGTCCTCTCTGAAACCCTGAGTAGTCAGTGCCACACTGTCTGCTGCTGTCTAGAGCCCGGAGCGCTTCCTGCAGCTTGGCGCTAAGGTCCCAAAGGGGGCACTGCTGCTGGGACCCCCCGGCTGTGGAAAGACACTGCTGGCCAAGGCGGTGGCCACAGAGGCCCAGGTGCCCTTCTTGGCGATGGCCGGCCCAGAGTTTGTGGAGGTCATTGGAGGTAGGTTCACCTTACCTCTTGTCTGGGAGGGTTCTCTCTCCCCACATACCCTTCCCCAGAGGAAAGAGGGGGACAGAGAAGGGAAGTGGGAGCCTGAGGTAGAGGAAGTGGTGCATCTCAAGATGAATCAGGGCTGAAGAGGGCTGAGGAGCAGGAGTCCTCTTAGTTTTCAACACCCTTGGGGGCAGCTTGGCCTGGCCCCAGCCCAAGGATTTGTTTTTTGTTGTCCATTTCTTGATACTTTATGTGTCCACCCAGGTCTTGGTGCTGCCCGTGTGCGGAGCCTCTTTAAAGAAGCCCGGGCCCGGGCCCCCTGCATAGTGTACATTGATGAGATCGATGCTGTGGGCAAGAAGCGCTCGACCACTACTGCTGGTTTCTCCAACACCGAGGAGGAGCAGACACTCAACCAACTGCTAGTGGAGATGGATGGTCAGTGCCCAGGAGTGACCACTGTTCTGGCTTCCACAGTTTTCTTTTGAATGGAGCTAACCCACTAAAGATGATAGGGCATTGTTTGCCTTTTTGTTGTTGTTGTTGAGGCAGAGTCTCAGTATGTTACCCTCAGTAGAGTGGTGTTGTGTCACAGCTCACAGCATCCTCAAACTCTTGGACTTAAGCAATTCTGTTGTCTTAGCCTCCCAAGTAGCTAGGGCTACAGGTGCCTGCCACAGTGCCTGGCTACTTTTTGGTTGTAGTTGGCCTGGGCTGAATTTGAACCCACCAGGTCCAGTGTATGTGGCTGGCGCCCTAGCTGCTGAGCTACAGGCACCCAGCCAGCATTGTTTGTCTTTTAAGCTCCTCTTGCAAGCTCCATTTTCTTTGTGTGGATTTCATGGTACAGTGTACAAACAATATACATGTAACACAAAAGTCCTCATGCTGACCATTCCTAGTGTGCAGGTGAGGGCGTGAAGTACACTCACAGTGCCATGCAGCCACTCCCACCTCCTCCAGAGCTTTCTCTTCAGCCCAAACAGAAGCTCTGTTCCCATTAACCCTTCCCCAGACTTTTGTAACTTCTATTTTTTTTTTTTTTTG